AAAAAAAAAAAATTACAGCCTGGAAATCCCTTGTGGCGCAAAGATGCAAATCATAACAGCACCTCATAGATGGTAAGGGAAAAACGGATTGTGGAAATTCTTAACTTTATTTAGGTAAGTCCTGCTGTTAAATTGCTAGCCTAGTCACCTTCTGGGATTTATGTAAAGGGATAAAAGCTCTCTGAAAGCTGCACTCAAGCCACAGGATTGCACAATTGTAAGGATTGGAAAGGACCTCTGAAGACCATCTAGTCCAACCCCCAAGTCCTTGCACGACAAGACAGCACAGTTTCTGTCTCTGCTAACAGAAATCCTGGGCTTAACGATTATCACAAGACTTCTGAGCAGTTTATACCCAGCAAAAGCTCCACAACTGAAAAATAAGCACTTTCAGGTTTTTAAGTGGTTGTTAGCCTGTCTTCAACATGCTGGATTTCACAGGAAAAAAAACAAAAAGACTAAAAAAGGAAAAAGGAAAAAAAAAAAAAGAAAGAAAAAGAAAGAAAAAGACAAAAAAAAGACAAAAAATAAAAAAAAAAGGGAAAAAAACCCAAAAAAAGACCAAAAAAGGAAAAATAAAAAAAAGAAAAAAGCTAGGGACAGTTCTGCAAGTACAAGGCAGGCAGTAAGAAAAGTCTGCTGAAAAAGTTGATTCTCTCTCTAGCCACAGCACAGCACTTAAACTGCTATAATCACTCTGAGCTTTGCTTTATAGCTGGGATTGAGCGGGGATTTTTTCTAAAAGTTTTACACCCAGGGCTGCAGTGAGGACAGAGTGTTTGTGTCAGTCTGGGTGACACTGGCAACTCTGCTCCTGAGCAATGCTGATCCTTTGCAGAAGCATCCTGCAACTGCAACTGAGTTTCAGTGAGTAACCACTATGAAGCAAGAGTTATAAAGACGGGTACAAATAACAGATTAAAGATGTTCATCCCTTCTTAGGATTGAAATGGTGAAAACCTTGCCCTGTTTTGGGCAAGCTAGAGGTACTTTTTTGGTACTGTGACTTTCAGCCTTACAGTGACAGATCTGGTCTACTGAACGTACTCTTACACCAGCCACAAAATTCTTCCGAAACCCTATTCCAGGAATGAAAGAGGCACAGAGCTGAAGCACAGCTGAGAGCAATCCAAAGTAGCTAAGCCTTTGAGAAGTTCACCCTTGCATGCAGGAAAGCAGGAAATGTGTGAGGCTGGAGCTGTGCAGCCCCGGTGCGGCGCCGCTTACCGCGATCTTGCCCAGGTCGATGCCGTAGTTCAGCGCGCTCCACGAGCACTGCTTGAAGTTGGGCGTCCAGGACTCCTCGATGCTCTCCCGCATGCACTCGCCCTTCTCCCCCTTCAGCCCGTCCCTTCCCGGGATCCCGGGTGTCCCAGGGATCCCGTTGGCTCCCGGGTTTCCATCCCGGCCGGGAACGCCGCTGGGGCCTTGCAAGCACATGCCATTATACTGGAAGAGAGAACAGATCTTGCTGCTCCCACCCCTCAATTCCGAGGCTAACCAAGTCCAACACAAGTGAATAACAACAAAGCACACCCCCCCTGCTGTGCCACAATGGGCTATTTCTGCATCTCCCAGAAAATGGTTCCACTGAAGTAAAAAAAATAAAGGAAGAATAAATTTTCAAAGATAAGCAGTGCCAGCAGAATTTGCTGTAAAATAGGATGCACCTTTTTTTAATGAAAAGATGCATAAATCCTAGCATTAAAAAATTATCTAGTCCAAGAATTAAAACTGTTGGGAAACTTCAACAGAGTCAAAACAGAAACAAAAAAAAGAAGTCGCATGTTAATAGTTACTTTCTCCTAACCCACCATTACTTGTATAACTGTCTATGCTAATACATGTTCAGTATGTTTTGTTTTTTTTTCCTAAGAAAATTTTCTATTTCATAGAGAGCAAAGGTTCATGCCTCTTTTCTTCTGTCACTGCTCCTCTGGTGAGGAGGTGACAACCACATGGTGATAATCAAGCCCCGCGGTTCAGACTCCAATATGCACACAAATGGATGGTGATATGGATGTGGGAAGCTGCATCCTGGAATAAAGCTGAACTCAGGAAGCCTGTTTGTAACAGTGGGAAAGCAGACATGGGAGGAGGGCACACTCACATCCTTCCTAACATCACAGTATTAGGAAAGGTCAAATGTTGCCCTCCCAAACTCCATGTTAACACACATCACCTTCTCACCTTCTGCCCATCTTGGAGAGTAAGTCTGTGAAGCCCAGAGCTCCCTCCCTCAGCAGCCTGAGGGCTGGGATGTGGGAGGAGCACTGGGCATGGGAATGCTGAGCAGGAACCTGCAGGGGCTGGCCAGGGCTTTTACTTCATGTGCTCTGTCCTATCTGGTGCTGCCTGCTTCCTCCCATCTTCATCCCAAGTCCTCACAGATAGCTGCACTCTGCTCTTCCACTTTCTCATATTTATTTGTCTTTATCTAGTTTAAACCACCTAATGCCCGTCTGTTTCAAAAAGAAACAGTGCTGCAGCTATTCCCCCTCAGGCCAACCATGCCCCTGTCTGCCCTGCAGGAGCTGTAAACTAAACTGTAAGCTGTAAACTGCCTCTGCCCTCTTTCCTTTGTCAAATTGGCGAATTTTCTTCACTGAGGCTGTGCCTTTACACGGGCTCTGGTGCAAAAACCAGCAGAGCCATCACAGGCTTAGCTGGAGCCACACCAAAAGTAAAATCAGTGACTACATGGAAAAGGTCTAGTAAGAAGTCAGATGAGTTTGTGACTAATGGTTGCCAACTTTCCCTTACTACCTTCACCAAAGAAAACCCTGCTGGCTAAAGGCAGTGGAAATATTGGAATATTTTCACGAAGAAAACCATGTTTCAGAAAAGTTCGCTGAGAGAGGGCTGGTTGGCAAAGCACCAACCCAGGAGAACAATGCAGGGACATTTCTATTTCACACAGCAACAGTGATCTGGTTTTGCTGTTGCTTTCCCACTGGACTCCATTTGTAACAGTGACTGGCTCTGGCTTTCGCATGCGGTTCCTCACCACAGAAATCCTGCATGTGGAAATAGGCAAGAGCTGGGTCAGGCCAAAGCTGTGGCCGATTGCCCCCGTCCCCAGAGACACCAGGAAGGGCTGGCCTGTCCCCACACAGGAGCTGCCACCCACAGCCAGACAGGGAGAGCCCCTCAGCCATGGCACATCCCAAAAAATAAATGGGAGCAACAAGAATCACCTGGGCTTTGGGCTCTACTCCAACTAAAATTGTGTCTTGCCAAGTCAAGACTTTTTCATGTTTTCTTAAGCTGGAAATGCATAAAACATACTTTAAACATCCACTGAAGGCAGGATCCCAGGATCCCCCCAGTCCTTCCTCCACTCTGCCCTGGCAGGGCTTGTGCTGAAGCATCTGTACAGCTGGGCTATGCATGAGTCAGCTGCCATTGATTTACCCACACTTTGCTGCTCACTCTGCTGCACCCAAAAAGCACTGAGTAATTTCAAAGCACTGAGGAATCCTGAAACACGGCTCAGAAAATGTTAACTCATCCATGCATACAGACTCCTTATTCTCCATGCAATTCAACTTCCACAATAGAAGTGAAAAGACAATGAAGTGGTGTGGAAGGGAAGGAGCTTTGCCAGCAGTGGTGCTTCCAGCACATCCTTTAGGGGATCTCTCTGGAGATCATGGAAGAAATGGTCATACCACTGATTTTCTATAGAAGGGGAACGGCAGTACAGCAACTCACAGAAATACCTTCACATCTGCTTTCTACATTCCAAGGACTGGAAAATTTCCCTCCTGTCATCTATCCCTGAGATGGGATAGTCCCAATGCATTCAGGTTTCTAGTAGCAGTGGAATTTCAAACAATGGTGTGCAGTCCCTGCCGCCCAAGGAAATAATGCATTCATGCCACTCCGATGGAAAGTGTGCTCGGTGAGCATGCAGACAGCTTCAGAGCACGCAGATAGTTTTTCTCATTACTATTTATCCACTAGCATTTTAGGAGCTAAGCAGCAGTTAAGTGCTTACGTTGGAAGGAGCTAAGCCGCATTCACTACTGATGTTTGATTGTGAGGTTCCGGCGCTGCCCCTGCAGTGCGGGGAGCGCAGCGCCAGCCCCGGCACCGGGCACGGCGGGGAGCGCGGGCTCGGCCGGCGCCAGCCGCCATCCCGGGCCGGTGGGGCAGCGCTCACACACACACCGGGCCGCCGAGACCCCGCGGTTTGTGACAATGCCCATCCAGAGCCTTCTCCTCATTTTCCTGATTCAGCACAACAAGGGCTCGATTAAATGAACCGAGAGATGCCCAGCGGCGCGGGACCGGCGCTGCCCTGTCTGGAGCGGCCGCCAGGCTTTTCGAAAGCCTCTGATCTATCGCGTTTTTGGTATCTTTGCAATAACAAAGCGGCTGCGTGGCTCCTCCAGCCGCCCCCCGCCCGCCCCGCTCCCGGTCCCGGCCCGCCGCTCTCACCACGTCCACCACCTCCCGCTGGCGGAGCGCCTTCTGCTTGCCCCGGGGGCTCTCGGAGCCGCCGTGCGGCGGGGCCGCGGCCAGCAGCAGCGCCAGCAGCAGCAGCAGCGGGGCGGCGGCGGCGGCCGGGCCGCGGGGCATCGTGCGGGGCGGGATGCGCGGGGCGGCGCGGCACAGCCCGGCTCCCCGCTCCGGGCGGCAGCGCGGCGATAAATGAGCCTTTCAGAGCGCGCAGCCCCAGCTCCCTCCCCGGGGAGGCCGGGAATTTCCATCCTGTAACCGGGCGAGACGGCCCGGCAGAGCCACCCCCCTCAGCCATTGGCACGGGGCCGGGGCCTCCCGCCCCTCGGGCCGGCCCCGCCGAGCCTTCCCCGGGCAGCGCCGGAGCCCCCGGCCGAGCCGCGCCGAGCCTTCCCCGGGCCGCGCCGAGCCGAGCCGAGCCGAACCGAACCGAGCCGAGCAGAGCCGAGCCGAGCCGAACGGAGCGGCGGCAGCGCTGCGGGGCCATGCCCGGCTCTCCCCCCGGCTCTCCTCCCGCGCTCCCGCAGACCCAGGCAGTTCCCTTCCACGCCTTCAGGTGTTTGCTCGGCGCTCGGTAGCTCCTGTCCGATGAAGGAGCTGTGTCTGCAAGACACCGCCTAACGCCGCAGCGGGATGCTGGTGCACCGCCAGGGGAAACTGTGATAAAGTATCAGCTGGGCATCAGTCACAGATTTCACTGTAACAGAACCCAAGGTAAGGACGCAAAATCCTTCTGAACAATAAAGGATTTTGGGCTTTTTCGAAAAACCCGGTATTGCCAGACTGAACATTGGCAATTTAGCAACAAAGGGAAAGTTTTCGGCTACCCAGTGTAAGCCATCCCATACTGCTTTAATTCCAAATCATAATTTGCTATTCATCATTCTCGGATTGAAAGCACTGTAAAAGAAAGGATGTGATATGTCCTCAAGAATTCAAAATAGAAATAACAAATGTTTGAGGTAGCTCCTGTATACTGCAAACTTCGCAGTATTTGTAGAGTTTCCAGAAGGGGGAGATAAGCTTCAACATTTTTTTTTCTGAAGTATTTAACAAAACCACATATTTGTCCTACAGGAAAGAATGCTACAAGAAGTTGAGTCATTCAAACAGGCTGCATGGAACCACATTTTTGTGCGGACTGAACCCCTTCATGTGGCTCTGCACTTAAGCCACTTCTCCCCTTTCCCTGTCTGTGCCGGTGGAACAATAGCAGCGAAGTGAGAGCTGCAGCACAGGTCAGTCACACTGCTGTCACCAACCCCGTCACACGCTGTCCTGAGAGCTGCGACTGATGTCACCCACACTGCTGAGGTGAGGGTTCCTACCTTGTGAAGAAGAGCAGCATTCCACCCTGCCAACTTCAAAAAAACAGCTGGTAAATCACAATGGTTCCCTAAACCAGCTGGGAAATTTTATGGAATTATGTAAATCCTTAATTGTAACAATTGCTTTGGTGACAGCCTCAGTCAGCATTCACAAACACGGGCAGAGGCTTCATTGAGCAATGGCTCAGTGCTGTCAGCAAACCCTGCTGCCTCTGGGCTGATGGCAGTGCTGTGAGGGCGGTGCTGTTTGATTTCTGTGTCACCTGCATGTCCACACAAGCGTCCTTACCGAGGGCTGGGGATCCTCAGCATCAACACAGGCTGTTGCTAAGGTGTGTCCCTTCACAGGGTGCCAGTCTTCTGCATTACAGAATTAATTTCCTCAGGCAAGGTGCAGCAGCTGAAGTACACAGTGCAGCAGCACTGCACGCCTTCCCAGGCAATCACTCAGGGTTTTAGAGAACAAAATTTCCATGGATGTTCACAATTATTTCCGCACCTGGGTTTGCTCACCATATGTTTGAGTGTGGTTTAGAAGCTTTGAAATTCCAAATGGCTTTGCCAGAGGAAGCAAACTGAGGAGCACTGTAAGAGAAGGTCTCAGCAAACAGCAGTGGCACATCTGCTTTGAGCTCTGGTGAGAGCATTGTGCAGCTCCTAGCCCTTGTTTGACTTGCAGTGTGCATTTCCATCTGGAAAACAGAAATGTCAACATCCTGCTTAGCCTTCTTCAGCCCAAGCAAGCCTTGCCATCTGTTAGGCTTATGTTTTGTGGTCTTCTGATATATTTAAATGCTTCTGAGGGCACAAACCACTGCCAAATGCTGGTGAGATACTCAAAATCAGAACTACTGATCAACTTTGCCTTAACTATTTTGCAGCTCAAAGGAGTGATAATAAACTTGCCTGAGCATACTCTGACCATGATCCAAGGACTTGCCTGAGCATACTCTGACCATGATCCATATTACATCAACTAGTGATTCTTTCATTTTATCCATCCTGCCATATGATATAGGCTTTATCTTTTATATATGGCCCCACAAACATATCAGAACATATTAGGAGTTGTTATTGATGTCATTAAAATCTCCCAGATGGCCAGTCTGCTCCTGCACAGCCTGGGCAGGCTCACACAAGGTCACTGTGGCACAGTCAATGCATCTTGCACCACAGAAGCTCATAGATGAGGCTGATGCCATGAGTGCAGTCTCTCAGCTGCAGCTTGAGCTGCTTTCCCCCTCACGCAGCCTCTCAGCATCCCAAAAATGCAGACACACAAGTCTGGAGAGAAGGATGTTCCCATACACACATGTGTTTCCATTCACCTCAGCTCTAACATATTTAAATTCAAGGGACTGCCCATGGGGTCACTGGGTCTCTCTGCCTTTCCTGTCCAAACTATTCCAGTTTATGGATCCTGTTTGTTAGCACACGGGTTTGACTTCAAGCAGTGAGTATTTGTTATTCAATTTTGTTGTTATTCAGTCCTCAGTCTTTACAGTGTGAAATAACTGCAGGGAACCAGGAGCACCAGACTTATGTGTTCATAAACATTACAGAAAGTTCAAGGCTGAGGATCCTGAGACAAAAGAGGCCCATTAAGGTAAGTGCCAAGACTTGGACTTTTCATCTTCCTTTAACTCTTATTGCTTCATACATTTCCCTGTTCTGAGGATGTCTGGGGATTTTGACTTTGGCTGGCAGCCTGATCTCTGCATCACTCTGGGGAACATGTTATACCCTGGGTAACACTCAGCATCCTTGCCAACCTGTCCTTGGTGTTTTTAACTGTGAGTTCATCATTTTAGATCTTGTTCACTTTAATACTGGCATTTTAGGGTGAGTTGTAAGTTGGTGTAAAAGGCTGAGATCAGGGAAAACTGTTGAATTTTTCAAATGGCTCTTTGCAGGCTGCCTGTCTGATCAAGGAGACAAAGAGCTGTCTGTACTGCTGTGGAAGAAAACCAAAGTAAGATCTCTTATGTAATTTATTACAGATTTAAGAAATTGATTCCAACTTCCACCAAAGAAGCCTTTGGAACTGCATGAAGACCAATAGGATTGTGGCCTTAGTCCTTTCTAACACGTCTTAATTTAAATATATGATTGATATAGCATGAGTAAGATTTTTTTAAAAATCCAAAACATCTCTCCATTTTAATACTTTTCTAGCACAGATAGACCTATTTAAAAAAAAGTTCCAGTAGCTTCTGCATAAATGATAAAAGCATTATAGCCTCAGCAGTGCTTTGCAGGTACACATATTAACATTTGAATCTTAAAATATAATTTGGGGCATGTGCTCCCCCTTCAGAGGCTTGTCTGCAGAAGAGAATTCCTGTGTTCACATGCATGAGGACGGCATTTTTTGAGTGTGAGGAAAAAAAAATCCTGATGGTAAATGTTAATTCTTTTTTTCTGAATAAGCACATGGCAGTTTTAATGTTACTATAGGAAATGTATTTTTACATAATAAAAACACGAGAGAATCAACACTTTTTGTTATTCATATTAATTATGTTTTCTATGGAGAGAAATATTTAACATTGTCTCTGACAAGTGAAGACCAGGACATAGGTCAGATACCAGTGAAAACTTATGGAAACAGTTCCTTCCGTTGCCTGCTGGGGTTCCAGGCAGATCTGTTTTTTTCTGTCCAAGTCATCAATTGATTTATAGTTGCATTTGCTCGTAGCTGTGTTTCTACAGTAATAATGGAGGCACTGAATATTTTAAACTAAACACTATTCACAAACAGTCAGAGAGAGATAAACTTTAATAAAACTATTAGGGAGAACTGTCTGCCTACTGATAAAGGATAAATCAGGACATCCAGATGTTTCCATAGTGCAAACTTTATGATGAAAAGCCCATACTGTTTCCATTAGTTGCTGGTTGCAAATTTCAGACCCTGAAGGGCTCTGGTCTGTGCCTCTGCAAGGCTGCTCCCAAGAGCAGCTGGCACAATCCCAGCTGCAGTCACGGAAACATTTGGGTCTGCAGGGACATCAGGAGCACATCTGACTGAAGCAGGTCCACTTGGATTGGGTTGTTCAAGGACTTGTAGGATGGTAAAATTATTTCAGTCCAGTTAAAAATTAAATTCACTGGGTGTCCAGTGAATCATCACGTGCAAGGGGAGAGCTGAGTCTCAGGAGGAACATTTGCTCATTAGAGCGGCTGGGAATCAGCCAGTGCTAGAAAAATCACTTGGCTACCTCATGAAACCTCAATGAATAGAAAGGCTTACACAGAACTGAAAAGCTAACTTTCCTTAAATCCTGTGCTAATAAATGGTTATTAGGATGTGAAATACAGTGCTCCATTCAGACAAGAAGGCTTCTTCAAATGAAGGGCACAATCTGCATTTTTCTACACCATTCATCAGATGAACTGCCAGAAGTTTGTTCTTCCAGTTTTGGAAGGTAGTAGCTCGAATTAGTGATAATCCTGAAATTAAAGGAATAGACTTTAACTTTGAAGGTTTTATTTTATTTGTGTCCAGTAAAACCTTTGAAAAGAAGTTGCTCAGGATAAGCAAGCTATGAGCAGGGCTGAGGCAGGGCTCTGCAGCCCTTCAAGGTGGCTTACAGAAACCAGAGGTCTACAGCCACCATAACAGGCACACAAAAAATGCACAGAAGTACATGAAAGATTTGGTCAAAGAAACAAACCAAAATTGGCCCATTTGCACAAAACTCAGAAGAGAGACAGATGAGCAGAGCCAGACAACAATGACAGAGGGGAGCACACGTGATCACTGCAGCTCTGCTTCTCGGATGTAGTGGTGGATCTTGAAGCCTGTGGCATTCCTGTCACCTGGCTCCCCGTGCCCACAGTGACCTCAGTGTAAAAGTGTCATGGCTTGAGGCAGGCAGGGCTGTGGAGCTTCCGGGCACCAGCTCCAGCATGTGCTCACTCATGACCCACTGTCACTGAAAGGGCAATGCATGGACAGGGGCTGCTGGGTCAGGCACAGTGAGGTTCACCACAAGTGGCTGAGTGGGGTCATCCTTCAGCCCTGAGGATACTGAAATAGGTAAACTCTTGTATTTAAGTTGTTTTATGTGCTAATATAGGAATCATATTTGACTTGCATCAACAAGAGACTGATAGAGTGGCCAGGAAAGGATCAAGCACCTGAATCCCTGGCTCATGTGGAGATGAAATTGTGTTTGGCCAGAATAGCAAAAGACCTGCCTGGTTCCTGTGAAGAAAAATGTGGTTTTGAGCCCTTCTTTAAGTTATATTTTTACAGCAGGTGCACATCTAACTATGCTTTTGTGAGGCATAACTTAGTGCTTGTTTCCTTCTATCCTTGTAACTTTGCTGTAATTACAGCATCTCTTGGTTGATTACAGATCTTATTTATGAGTCCATCATTTTCCCATTGTCAAGTAGAGTAGCTTTCAGGATGTGTGCCATAAAAATGCTGTTGAAGTAATATTAATTTAAAAGGCAAATTCCTCCTTTTTTTTTTTTCTTTTGTGTGTGTTTGTGTGTGTGTGTGTGTGTGTGTGTGTATGCATGTGTGCTTTCTTGGCTTTTCCTGCAGGTTTGGTGACTGTCCGTTTCTCTCCCTAGAGAACCTCATCACAGCTATCAGCATCTTTAAGTTTTCCTCAGGATAATCTTGCCTACTAAAATTTTGAGAAAAATTTTAGGAAAAGTTTTAGGAAAAATAAATTAATTTGCATGGTGAGCCTTGACTTCAGCCAGCCCAACACATTTGCATCTCATCCACCCACTGGCACATCACACCTGTCAGTGCCACATCTCCACATTTCACAGATTCATGTGTCTAGATTATTTGTCCCTGCAGTGCATCCACTTTACTTGGAAGTCTGGATCACAACCATGGCTGTAGGAATCTGGCAGGAGGAGAGCAAGTCCCAGACAGGACTGTGTCCAACATCAACACCAGTGACTCAAACCCAGTGCTCAACTGCTTCAGCTTCATCAAAGCCTCCATCTTCAAGACTTACCTGCATTCCTGGATAGTAGGTATGATGCTACTGGATTTGGGTCTGGAGGGAATGCTTCCCAGAGAGCTTAAGCCTTCAACTGATAAATAATTGACTATTAATTTCTTGTGATCCAGTTTCATGTGGTAAGGTAGAACATCAGGAAGATAACTGGGACACACATTCTCTTCTTAGTCCTTCATACACAACCAACATGGAACATCCTTTTTCCTGTTAATCCTTTGATGGCCATGTCTAATCATCCCCTCCTCACCTCTCTGACAAACCTACTCAGTGGCAACAAAACATCTTCTTGCTGTTTCTCTTCACCTTGTATGGCAAAATGAGTCCTAAAATACCTTTCCCCTTAAAATACCTGATGTTCTCTCATGACTATCCTGCAGTACATGAGAGTGCTCTCTGGGAGGGAAGTCAGCATCCCTCCACATCACCTCCACCCAGTACTGAGTGCCTGTTTAGCATTGCCCTTCCACAAAAAGTGCTTTCTTCCAAACAGCAGGAACTATTCTCCTCTCCAGCTCATATCTGTGCTAAGAAACCACTCTGACCCATTTAATGAAGGTAATTTGTTTAAATAGCTCATTGGCCATTACTTTATTTCAACTAAAAAAACTTGAAAGAAAGCAAACTTTTATTTCATATTTTGTTTCAGTGATCAAAGTTTGAAATGCAGGGAATAAACATTAACAAAGAGCTCAGATATAAATGTCCTGGCTTGTTTTTAATTATAATTTAAATTATAATTTTTTAATAATTTTAAGATTTTACTTTTAATCTCAAGTGCTTTTTAATAGGAACTAAAAGCCAGTTAATAAACAGAAGTGGATTTCATAGACATAAATCAGAAATACATTCTGAGCTCCACTTCTAGGTATACAAAGCAGAAAGCTCATTAATGCATTGTATAAGTTGCTTTAATTAAACTCCAGTCCATTAAAAAAATACAAGTATGATAAGTGTAAAGGCATGAAAGAATAAGTGCAAAAAAAAAAAAGAAACTTGCAGGAAATAACATCTATACTCATGAGACTCTGAAATACCTTTGGTGCCAGCCATCTCAATTACTGCAAATACCACTGGTTAATACTGGCAGTGAGCTTTACCAGTGAACGCAGGCAGAGAGCAGCCAGATGCCTTCAAAGACTGATACACAAAGTGGCCAGTGTGAAGGGAAGGATGCAGAATCTGTCCTTTGGTGTGCAGCCTTCTGAAACAGCACGTTGAGACTGGGTGGTCAAACTCCACAGCAGAACAGGATTTTCATTCTCTTCAGCTACTGCATTTTTCAGAATGCTAAACTTATTCTTATTAAAGAAGTTCAACTTTTCATATTACATTTTTTTCTGTTTTGCTTTGGAATTGCAACTGGATTTGATTGTTTAAACTAAATATATTCTGTATCCTGTAAGGAAAAAGGAGCTACGGTTCTCTGTAAATCAGCTGAAGAGTTGTCAAAGAAAATTGTGTGATATTTCAGCTTGTTAGCGCTCCACCGCTGAATTGTTGGGGTTTTTACTCTAAAAAAAACCAGGAAGTTTTAAATACTGCAGGGTTTTGTGGTTTTTTTTTCTTCTCTAGTAATAACACATTTTAAATGTTACAAACATTATTTTGTTTATCTTTTAAAACTTAGACTTATTTTTTCAACTATATGCATAGATTTACGCTCTAGGTAAAGTCTACCCTGGTTTTCACCAAACATATTTAGAAAAATAGAGCAGTAAGATACAGTATAAACAACATGTACCATAAAAGTACCATATTGGTAATTTCAGGTGCTGTTTATTTCACAAATCAAGTATTATTAGATATGCTAAATTTATCTTGTCCTTTGAAAGATTTTCTATGCAACCCGAAAATCAGTGCAATGCATAATTTGAACTGATTTATGACATCTTAATTCAGAAAAAGACTCTTTGGCACACTTAATTCCTGGTTTGGAGAAGCTGTCAGTATCCTGCAGTCTAGCTTCTTGCAAACAGTGTCAGCAAACAAGAGTAAAATGGCTGTATCAGTGCAAATAGCTGGATTTACAGTACATCTTCCAGAAGACTGCAAGCCTCCATTAAACAACCTCAGCTGATGGAGATCAGCTCCCTTCTTCCCAGGGAGAAGTCATTCTCACAGGTTCAGAAACGCCCTTTGAACATGAATGGTTTAACTTCATTCAGATAACAAGAGGAAAGCAAATAAATACCTTTTGTTAGAGAAGCTGCTTATGAGATTCTGCACTGCCCCTCACCATAAGGCAGTCAGGCTCCCAGGCCCTCACTCATCTCCGTGCCCCTTTTCTCTCAGTTTCCTTCTCCTCATCACTGCTGTGAGCATTCAAACAGAACTTTAACTTCCCATTCATTGCTCGGGTACTTGGTGGTTAAAGCACCCAGAGAGGTCACAGCCTCTTTGCCTGCAAGGATCATCTGGGAATTCAGAGTCTGTTTTTTCTGGTGCAGCTGCCCTGGAACACACAAAGTGCTACAGTCTCAATCTAATACTGATGAGTTTCACTGCCAATGTTTTGATTATTGCTTCGTATCTCACACTTCTTTGATAATTTACCTATTTTTAAGCCCACAGTATTGTTATAAGTTCAAAATTACTTTATTTTTTGTAGAGCAGTTACCACAAAAGGAAATTTTTTCAGAGCTTCCTAAAAAGGGGGAATAGCACTAAAAATTAAAAATCAGTATTTTAAGAAGGTGGCAGCATGGGCAGTCTGGAAATACACATTCTACATAATCTAAAGGGGGTCTTTAGAGGTCATGAAAGAAAAGATGCTGTAAGCATTAGGATGAAAGAACTAGTTCAAGTTCCTCACTGTGTTCATGTGCACAATTCCCAGCATTGTTCTGTCTCAGTTTCTCACACAGGAGAAATAAAAACATTGCAGTACTTACTAACTCACACAGCCCTACTAAAAAATACTTGTGTTTTACATGCAAAAATACTACAGTAGTGGGTAGACCAACAAACATGCCACATGTAGTTACTGAGAAATATCCACTCAGAAGCTCTTACTATACAACAGCATATTTTATTACTAACAAATACAGTAAAAACTACTGAACATGTGTATAAAGTTACCTGGTTACAAACAGAAGTGAAAAATGAAGGGTATTTAGTGCACCTTTTCACGGGAGGTTTTTCATATCTTACTGTCCACTTAGTAGCAAGAATTCTGTCTACTTTTAATGGGAAAATTCTAAAAGAAAGAGCATATCCCATTGATGGCAATAAATTACAAATGCTAAAATGCAGATACTGTAATATAAAGGTAAAGAAATTTCATTTTTAATGCATGATGCATAAAACAAATAACTTTGGTTTATCAGAACCGTAGTTCCTGTTGTTTCAGCACTTACATGTCCTTTGTACCACGCAATTTTCATTGTTCAATGCATCACCATGAATGCTGTCCCAGCTCACAGTAAATTCTCTGCCTAATACCATAACAGTGAGACATATTCTTGTTAGTGGTCAAATGCAAGATGCTGGGCAGTTTTACAAAATGCACTGACATTTAGGTTTAGAAAACAGCAAAATCTATCTCAAAATTATCTCAAGTAACAAATCCCATTGGCTCTTAAAAAAACATTGACTCAAAGTCAGACAATGCAATTGTTATCCACATCAGCAGTACTTGCTCCTGAGAACCACCTAGCATAGGAAAGGCTATATGTATTAAGGCCTTTTTGATTTAGAGAAAATATATTGCTGTAGCATAATAGAAAATTAGGCTTTGTAGAAAATTAGGCTTTGGAGGAAAAGTACTAAGGCTGTCTTCTCTGTAAATAGATTGTTAAAGAAGCCTGCATATTCATAACTCACCAGTTATTTGCAGCAGTTATCTGCAAGATATTTCTTTATAGCATTTTTAAAAAAATGAAGTTACTCACATAGAAACAGCATGAGATGAGCTGTCACTGCAGCTCAGGACAAAAGCCCCAGGCCTGCAGGTCAGGCTGTGCCCACTGAGCCCAGGAGTCTGAGGCGTCCCTTTGTCACCATGCCCAGGATCACCAGGCCAGGAGAGGCTCCAAGAGGCATTTTTCTGAGACAGTGCTGCACCTTCTGCAGCATCCCTGCAGCAGGGCCTGCCTCACCCCAGACATCAGTGCATGGTATGGGTAAAGGTCCAGCCTGCTTTTCCCAGAACTGTGTCACGTTGGCTGATCACCAGGGGACTGCTGGCTTCAGCAACACCCTAAGGGGAGCACGGGAACTTTCCCAAGTTTGTACAATACATACAAAACAGCAGTTCTAAAGATTGACCTTATGCAGTCACTTATTTACAAAATTAATTTTTATGTACAAAATAAACTGCTATAATTTCAGATTCCCTTTCATATTCAGTGTACAAGCTACCATAGACCAGTGCTATAATTGATACAGCATGATGTATAATTTAGAGTGTTTAAAAATTTGTGCATCACTTACTTAAGTGATACTGTTGTATAAGAGACAGTAAAAAAAAGAAAAAAATTAACAAATTTTGAAAAATATTGAAGAGGCTGATGGAATTTTATACCTTGAGAAGTAACAGTGCTTTTGAAGCATTATTTTAATGCAATTCATCACAAAGTGTTCTTTATATAAGGAATAGTATTTGTCTCTCATCTTTTCCTTACATTATTGCCATGTCCTACAGAACTTCAATTTCCATTAGTCCTGGACAGGATTAAATACAGTACATTATTGCTAGCTGTCCCCACAACAAAACATAGATTTTTAAGTGCAAAGCAGGATATATGTGTTTTTTAATAAGGCACAGAATATCCATTATTTCCAGTGTAACAAAGAACTCATGTCAGTTTTATACAATGCAAATGTTCATATAAATTTTCAGTCTTATGCAATACAAATGTTGATATATATTTTCAATCTTTCAAGGATTGGAACTGTTTCCTGAATCCAACTCTCTTCTGGTGTCTGAAGCTGAGTAGACGAGTAGTGATATGGAAGGTGACTGTGGGACATCAGGTACTTGGGAACAGCTCCTTTGCAGTGAAGGAGATTCACTAAAATCATTTTTAGGAGTTATTCTGTAAGTAAAGAAAAATAAAAGTAAATTTTAAGCACGGTTTAATTTCCATTACACTACTCAAAAAAATTGAGTAGTGAAATCATAATATATATTCAGCTGTATGAATGCAGTACAGTTCTGTACACTTTTCCAACCCTACAGTCATCATTGTTCTTTTTCAGACTCATCACCTCTCAAAGTGATTGCAGTGCAGACACAGGTTTCTTGAGAGTCACTGTTCAGCAAGGCAAGAATATCCTACAAGCTGAAGCTCCAGCACACAATGCTTAAAAAGAAGAACCCTACAAAAATACAAAACAGCCCAGAGGCTAAACACACATGGCCATAGTCTGCAAGTTCTCTTGACAGCTACTGAAGGTCAGGTGCATCCTGAGAGTACTCTGATTCTTCAGAGAGAAGAAACAGAACACTTACAGAAACAGTGGTAATATGCAGAAACAAAGAAAATACTGAGTTCAGGAGCCTTACCTTCCTTCACCTACTCTCTTAACACTCTCAACCAAAGTACCCATGTGGCAGGTGCTGTCTGCTTTGTTTCTCCTTTCCAGCTGATCCACGGTCAGTTTAGTGCTGGGGAACATCTGATCTCCGCTGGTTTCACCTTCCTCCACTCTTCTGGCAGATGCTCCATCTGCCTCCATCTCCTTCTCAGATGTCTCTGGAGAGCTTTTAATTTCTGCCACAGTTTCTTGGCTCAAGTAATCATGATTAGTGATTGCTACTGCAGAAGTTCCATGATTTGTTGTGCCACCTGTACTGGTCCCCATTGACTTTGAAATGACTTTCAGTCTGTGTGAAGTTGACTTGTAGTGCTTCTTTTTATGTTTAACTTTGGAATTGTGCCTCAAGAAAAATTCACATGATTCTTGCAGCACCCTTCGACTCTCGCTGATTGGACTGGAAGAGAGCACAAACACATCACTGAACAAAGAGGATAATGTTAGCTATAATATAATAAAGAGTAGCACACAAAACCTTGAAAGAATAGCAACCAGGGATGCAATCTGAGCTGGGTGTTAATGAACAAAGGGAAACAAATTTTATGTGAAAAGAGGAGGAAAAATCATAATGGCTCCAAAGTAACTGTCTGTGGAATAAATAAATAAAGCACATTTCTATATTTCTTACTTCTGCAAATAGGTCCAATGACTACAGTGAATTAATGATCTACTAGAGAGAAAAGAAGAATTAGCTCATAAGCAGTTGCATTACCAACTTTATATAGAGTCAACCTCCTCCAAATGAAAAAATATTAGCATTGTAAAAATAACTTCATTATTTTTAAATCCTTGTAGCTATAAGCAATTAACATCTGAAACACAAGCAAAAATTATACAGGAAATGGAAAAAGAGGGGAGAGGGAAAGGAAGCTATAGATTCACCATTGAGGAATGGAGATGTAAAATAAAAAGAGCTTAGAGACTACTGCCTTGGGAAAACCAAAGAAACAAAATTATCTAAAGCCACACTATCATTTATAAGTAACAGATAATCTGAAAAGAAATAATTAAGACATAAAAAAGAATTGAAAAAAGCAACAACTATAAGAAATGGAGACAAAATTTATAAGCTATTTAAATCCACAGATATAAATTTACTTAAATTAGGTAATGAAACTGAATTCTTCTGTTTAATTAAAAAAAAAGGAACACTAGATTAATGCAATAAAAGTGGTAGTAAGGAGGGTTCAATGAATATTAATTTCAAAAGAAGACAAGCCTGGCAGAGGAGAACAGAGAATATTATTACTGCATGACAGTAAACGTAGTACTAAGTACTGTGTCAAATGAAGTGGTCACAACACATGAAAAGAACTAAACTGATGGCTGAAATTAGCTTTCCTCCTTTGACTGTGAACCAAATCTGTATTAGCCAACACACTTTCTGCCCTACAAAAGAGAAATCAGCAGAGGAAAATATTTTCTGTCTTCTTGAGACTGTTGTTAAAGGGTCACTGTGTATTTAAAACTTCCCCAGATTCCAGTGGAATTCTGCTGATTCCCAAAGCAGCATTTATAGTCTGAGGACAACATTTTGATTATCTGAGCTATATATAGAAATACATGTCTGAAAGGCAAATTTAAGTATACGCTTTAAAAAACAGAGAAAAAAAAACCTCTTACTCTCTTTTGCGGTTTCTGTTGAAGAAATTGGCCCATTCGGAGCAGGTCTTTTTACTTCCCACCCAGAACACTGGAGATATGCCAACAATTAATGTCAGCAAATATTTCATCAGAAACAAAAATATTTCTGGTCTTGCTAGTGCCTTTGCCTAGAAGATAAAAAAAATTAATAAATGCAAAGAAGAAAATATACTCATTGATTTATTTTTTTAAATGAAGAAAACAAATACATTCCTTAAACGAGAGACTTTCTCCTTATGACTGTTGCTCTTTGTTGAGGCTTGTACTGTGGACAAACATCAGACATGTACAGACAGGTCAGATGTGTTCAGCTGAATATACACACAGAAGAGATCTGCCAGAAGGAATTATTTTTCTTTTAAATTTAAAGGAAAGGTAATTTGGGAGTAATAGTATTAGTAAAAATATTCTCCAGAGGCAAGCGTGAAAGATTTATCCCTTCAACTTAAAAGAAACAATAAGTGGATCACAGAATGGTTTGGGTTGGAAGGGACCTCTAAGATCATCAACTTCCACCCCAGCTGCCACAGGCAGGAACACTCCCACTGGACCAGGCTGATCAAAGCCCCATTCCAGCCTGGCCTTGAACACTTCAGGGATGAGGCATCCACAACTTCTCTGGCAAACCTGTTTCAGTGCCTCTCCACCTTCAAAGTAAAGGATTTCTTCCTAATATCTTCCTAATCTAAACTTACTCTCTTTTCAGTTCAAAGCTGTTCCCCCATGTCCTGTCACTACATGCCCTTGCAAAAAGTCTCTCTTCCTCTTTCTTGTAGGCTCCCTTCAGGTACTGGAAGGATTAGTTGGGAGTTAATCTGATTAGACAGCATCTTCAAGGAGCTGCAGGGAACTACACAGTAGCTGTTTATTGCAAAATTAATCCACCTATTTGCAGAGCTGTATCATCGGAGCTGAGACATTTAACCCAGTGAGAGATCATTATCTTCAGTTGTCATGATGCAAGTTTAATTTATGCCATTTGTCTTATCTGCTAGACCCATCTAGCAGGTGGGTCTATGAAAGCGACTATTTTTGTTAGCCAGGTAACATAAGCTACTTCAGTTTTTATTTAGTTTTCATCTGGCAAATGTAATAAAAGTCTACAAGCCAGCTCAGATAAGCCAAGGCCAAGCACACCATTTTGAGCTATTCCACAATTAGCACACACTATCATAGGGACAGATCCCACAAAGTAGATCTTTGTGTAATATTCAATGTTGATATTTCTTCCTTCCAATGGGTTAATTAAAGGCTAAAAATACATACTCTGTGTTATTTTGCCAAGCTGTTATATTAAACACCACAAAACAAATTTATTGATTATTTTTAAAGCATAAAAGTCTTGTTTTCAAACTTGTATATTCTGAAGCATTTAAGTTTATATAGAGCTCAGAATAAAACCCACTGAAGTCAAAATACATTTGTTAAGAAACAGCATTGGAAGCCAAAATAACCAAGTTGTCTGTGAGCTGTGCTACTCTCAGCCTACACTGACTTCAATCCAGAGGATACTAAATGGTGTTTAAGAATGAAAAAGGTCAATCCTGATCATTCCATTATGCCTGTATTTCTATTCCTCATTTTTAATGATAGTTTATTCCAGCAAAAAAACATAGTTGGGAAGTGTAATGCAATGAAAGATGACACAATACACTTGCATTTTTAGTGATGCTGTCTTCTTATATATTTGTTCTTAAATGGAAAGAAATAATATTTGTCAGTATACAAAACTACCTGCAACTGCAGCAGATTTAATCTACTGAACATGGGCAGATTTCATTTAAAAGTCTTTCCAAAGAAGTTGGATTTTAAGAGGCAAATATTAAACACAACCACTTCCACAATTTTAGTTGAAGTTTTTTTCTTTATCTGCTTTTTTGTTGTTGTTGTTGTTTTTTAATAAAGAATTCTTTACATTTCTGAAAATCAGCCTGCAAACTACAGCTATTGTGGAAAAAACATATGGGAAATTTGTTCTATAATTTCACATGGTTTACACTTCTATACTTTAAAGAAAAAAAAAAGTGATTCTAAATCTGTGGTTATAAACAGCATTTAAAATCCAGCTTAGTCTAAATTTTTAAGAATCCTTATTTCAGCTTCAACTAAAATTGATGAAAATTCAACTTATGTACTTTGATACTGAGCATGGCTATGAAGTACTAAGCAAATGCTTTCAGAAACAAATATTGTGAAGAACAACCCTCCTCCATCAGAATTTCTAACATGAAGTTCAAAGATCATAAAAAGCTATATATTCTGTTAGAGCTGCAAGTTGAATTTAATTGCTGAATGCTACCAATTAGATTAAAATTTTCAAAGCAAAAATAATATTTCATTGTTTTTCGACTTAAAAAGGAACTAATCACTCCATGTTTTTGAACTGATTACTCACTGCATGGCAGATATGCATAAGTTTTTGCTAATTAACTTTACAGTATTATTTATAAAGGAAAACGTTACTTGCCTGGTAAGGGCAAGGAATATGGTACTGGTCACAGTGGTCAAACACCCAAGTGGTTTCCCAGATTTTCCGATTCACCAGTTCATAAACGTAACATCCAAGAAGGGCTACAAGAGGCACCAAGTACAGCCCACTGAAAACCCCAATGCGGATCATGAACTTCTTGAGCTTCTCCTGGTTCCTGCCGTCGTGCTGAATGACCTGCCGCACGTGGTTCAGAGAGATGATGCCGGCTAGGAGGAGAGAGAGACCGAAAAACACACAGAGGCACAGCGGCAAAAGCACGAAGTACAGCGAGGCGTCCAGGTCGTAGAGACCCACAAAACAAACTCCACTGATATTGTCCCCTTCCACTTTGTTCATTGCAAGGAGCATAATGGTTAGAAAACCAGGTATTCCCCAGGCAACTGCATGGAACCACATGGCCTTCTGTGCAATAGCTTCACAGCTCCATTTTCTTCCCGCTGCAAGGAACCAAGTGATGGTCAGAATCACCCACCATATAGTTCCTGCCATGGTGAAAAAGTACAAAACCATGAAAAGGACAGTACAGGCTTTGTTTTGGGAGCCAAGAACAACCGTTTCACCAATTTCTAACTTCTCATCTGCCTCATTACAGGCAGTTCTGTTCCCAAGTAAAAATCCAATAAAGTACATTAGAGAGACTATGCTGTAACAGACAGAATAATAGATGATTGGTCTCTCTGGGTATCTAAACCTTTTGACATCAATCAGAAAAGTTAGGAACGTGAACAGTGTAGCACAAAGACAAAAGATTGAAACTATTCCAATAAAACTTTTTGCCACATCCAATTCATAATTCTTGAAGTACATATTGGGACATGGGGGTGCAC